CGTTAGTTAGTGGCACTATACATCCTCCTAGGTCCCGCTTGCCCACAGCTGCTGCCTGTGCTGGAAAGCCAGCTGAACTTGTGGTTCGACGTGTTTTATGGGCGTGTTTTGAGCGAGGTCGGTTGACTTCGGCTGAGAAGGTATATATTGCACGTGATTCGCTCTCTCGGCACCATCCGCATTATCCATACGATCGATAAGCAACTTGCTTCTAGACGCTTTTTCATATTATGCTATTGAACTATGGTTAGAAGCTTTCCTGCTGCCAGATAGTTATTTTGCAGCTGCCAATCAATATATCAGCTGATTGCTTTTAGGTCACGTATTAAAAACGCGTCTGTTGTCAACAGATTTGTTGATGATATATACCATGTAAGGCAGAACATTTACAGATACTGTCTGTAGTCTAGAAATCTGACCTTCAGTTTCTTGTCTGCGTCCCGCCGTTGTCCGGACGTCTTCCATGTCGTTTTTTTGGAGGGCCCACTTGACCTCTGTCTTCTTACTTATTGATCAGAATGTCATACTGTCGCAACTGTAGTCATTCAGTGTAAAGAAGCATTGATTTCGAAATGAGCTTACATTCAGACTGTTTGTCAACACTGCCCATTGTGGTGTGTGTAATCATTGTTTGGAGAGCGGTAAGCTGAACAGCTCTGCTTGCATTAGATTAGTGGTGTCGACCTTAAGACAACTAAAGCCAGAGGAACCTGCGTCAGTCCGTATGTTTTGTCGGTGTCGCTTTAATGACTGAAAATATATAATGTATTTATGCCTTTTGGCTGGTCGTTTTTGCACTCTTAATTCGTTTGCTTTAGCCTCGTGACCGCAAGCGATGGCTGTCCAAAGGTAGCCAGAATCTGCCGAATAATTCAACTTTCACGAAAGAGATTTGCGGTTCCGGCGCACTCACTGATCTCTGTCTTTTAGTGCCCGTTACGTGGCACATTTCTGGGATATGGTAAGTACCTGATATGCTGAAATTTTTGTTCATCTAAATTCCTAAATTCTAAGTTTCACAGAAGTACCGTTGAATACTATAATTTAAAAGACTAACAATTTACTGCTTGAATCACATCGTCGAATAAAACTATTTTTCAGCACACAGAAATGAATTATTAAACAGGCAAAGGAAACGACAGCATTTAGTATTAGACGATATCACAAGACAATAATTGGAACAAAGTTTCCAGTGTTAAAAGAGGAAAACAACAGAAATACATAAGCAGTGCATGAAATATGCGAGGAATGTATAAGAATATAATGACATGAAAGCAGAACCACGTGAAATTGAGCATAGTCAAGTAGGGCGCTGTTTAGCAGCTTGCGGATCTCGAAGAATTGATTCTACGGCTCTGCCGTTGGGTTTTCCAATCCTTCTGAATCGTCGGCAGGATGGCTATGGAGGATTGTTCTTTGGTGTTTTCCATGTGTATAATATGTTTATGGTTTTGCACTGAAATGGGTTCTGTTAGAAGGCCATATTTTTGACTAATCACCAGCACTACGATTTGCTCCTTGGGACTAGGAAGTACTTTAAGAAGTACTCTCGGTATTTGCAGACAAGTACTACAGTTTTATCATGTACACCATTAAGACTATTAATAATGGTGTTTGTGATCCCTGTTTAAATTAGGGCAATTTTCAATAGCATATATATCATACAACTAATAATACTAATATGAATGATAGCAGACATTCATTCGATGCATTTTTTAAGAACTGTTGTTTCTGTTCTTTTCTTATTTCATGGTTCAAGGCGACATATCATCAGGGCGATATAGAGTCTTTCACCTACTAGCACCGTTTCGACACAGCACTCGGCGTTCATCATTACAGTATTAATATATATCTGATACAAATGCACGATGCTAAGAGAAACAGTGAATTGACATTTAAGTGGCTGTAAGCACAGAGAAACTGAAGAATGATAGTGTATGCCATAAAGGTCTTAATTAAAGACTCATGAAGATCACCGGCCGGCATTACACTGGAAATTAGCAAACTTACCGGTAGCTGCCCCTCTCCTTCCATCGCACGCAGACATTGAAAATCCGTCAGGACTGCTCTTCGTTCTACCGTTTAGCACTGAAGCAACGTCCAGACCTTCGGTAGTTGACAATTTCATGTTTTTAAGGCAAAGGATGGTTTCCACCATCTTAAACGTCCGATTGTTGTCTTAGTTCTATGATGAACTTTAAGCTGCTTAAAGCCATTTCATTAAAATATCTCGATATGCTGGCAACTGTAGAGATAAATGTGCAACCATCGGTAAATTAGGAAGTTGAAGACCAGGAAGCTTAATTGAAACTCCAAAAAACGAACCTCGTTTCTCCATTGGAGTAAATGTCTACGTAAATAAAATGGTAAATCTACAGAACAGTGGTAACAAGAGCATTGTGTTCAGCTGAATGCCGTTCTACGTTGATGAAAGGCGCGTAGTAGATGATCTTCGTAATTGTGCGAATGCTCAGATGAATATCTGGTGACAATAAGAAAAATCACTTCCGGTACTCCTTCTTAAGGGGACATTAGGGACCACTCCATTAACTGTAAAATTATCTGCAAGCACGCTCCGTTGTTTCATCCCTGTGAAATACGACTACGTGAGTGATGTAACCATAAATAGTAATGCTATTGCAAAAAAATGTAAGATTAAAGACAGCTTTGCCGCTTTTGGATTGTAGCAAACGGCACGAAGCTGTGCGGGATAAATAGGAAAAAAGTAAGAAAAAGAAAAGAATGACAAAAATGCGAGAAAGAGGTAAAACCACTAGGAGAAAAAAACGAGATGGAAAATTGAATGTCGACACTACAGAGGATACTTATGCAGCAGTTCATGACTCGAACGACATGCGAAAGTCGTAAGGAAGGTATAAGATGAGGTAGAACGATTGTGCCATTTGAACTTACTGCATTTCAGTGTTTCGAATGTCATCTGCCAGCGTTTAAACGTTAGCGCAATATTCCATTGCGAACTTTGATGACACTGATGCTGTCTTCGACTGTTGCTCATGAAACTTGAATGAACAATTAGTGTGGGCGGCAGATTCTGAAGTACCTTTTTTCTGAATGTTGTTTCTCCATAGTTTTGCTTTGTCGAAGTTGTCTGAGGGAATCAAATGATATTGACAACAAATGAAACAAAGAATTGAACGAATACAACAGAGTGACCTTCAGTCTACGAGTCTTCATTTCATATATGTACTGGGGATCCTCCCACCATACTGTTATCAATGCTTTCAGTAGTGGCTTGTTTATAATAATGTTATGCCTGTTTGTCCACTTGAAAGTGATCAAAACTGTTCGTACGCCAATTTGTCAAATATCTAATGACTCCTCCAAGAGCACACAGCCCCCTTTATTCCCAGTGGCCTCGGGGAGGGCGGGAGGTTAACGCTTATGCAGGCCACGGCTCCGTAGTGGCTGAGCATCTGCAGTGTTAGACGCATCTTGCATCATTTTGTCGTCACGCTCATCATGGACGATGCTTAAACATATGGTACTTCCTACACTGGAGTAATGCAACACGCCGTGAAATTTGATCTTGGAGCAGCCATTCGTTGTTTGACCTACTCTGGCATACGAACAGCTTTATGATGTTTATCCGGTAGCATATAAGCAGTACACCAGTTGGTGAAACGTCGCGCGATATGGCTCTGGCGGACAAACTGATTGCGAGATGCATCTGCCGCTGCAGATGCTGAAATACCATGGCCCGTAAAGAAATAAGAGCAAAGGCACAGTAAAATACGCCTGAAATATGGTCTTGGAGGAGCATGCTTTATTTGGAGATGATCGGTTTGTATTGTCATCGTGTCTCTGTCTCACACGTCATTATCTTTCTTTGATGTTCCACTTAAGGCACTGAAGAGGAAGTCTAGCCTTATTGAAGTTATACGTCTATTAGCATAGTCCGATGTATGCCCTAGTATTCTAATTGAAAATCATCTATAATAAGCATGAAATTGTCACAGCAAACAAAACAGCGCCGATGCATCTGACAATACGGTCGCTCAAATGTCATATAGCAGTGGCGAGCGTAAATCTTCACAGACGACGAGCAGCAAGAAACTGTCCAATACGCCGTGAAATTTGGTCTTTTAAGAAGGTATGCATCAATGAACAGGTTAATGTTGCCTGTGCGAAGTGTTTGTCGAAACCTTGTTAAGCATTGGCACCGGCCAGTGATAGTAATAGCATTGCTGTTAGAAGTTTTGATGCATAGATCGGCTGGGAGTCCCTTGATCGTACGGTTAGGAAATTCTGCTTAGGCTTTATAGTCCTAAATTATGATGACATAGCCAGCTTTGAGAATCTGGTCCTGAAATCAGGAGAAAGGCGTCATACTTTTGTGATTTTGATATTTTTTATTAAGGTTCTTTTTTCTTTGACGCCACGCATCTGCAGTCTGTATTGTTAGTGCGTATTAAAGCAAGTTTTAACAATGATTTAGAATACAACTGTAAATATGCTTAAAGTTTTCTGAGTTTGTAAAAAGATTTGTAGTTCAATTTCGTTGCCTAAATGAAAATGCTGTTATTTGTAGTTATTTATTTTTGTTAATTTTCTAATGAATAATTTTAAAAAATAGGTTTTTAATGAATATCGACGCTGCTGCAGACAAAGGCGAAATTAATAGTGTGCTGAAGTTGAAGAAAAAGCAGCCAAGCACAGTCGACGATGTCTGTAACGGTGAGGTCAGGTGGTCGGCTCCTTGTTCGTCGTCGTTGAACTGTGCCAATGATCACAGCGTTAACGTTAAAGATACTTTCCATGGCCGTTCGGTTAATGATTCCTCGTATCAGCGACCACAATTGGATGAATTTGATAAAGAGCGAGTGACGTCACCCTGTATTGATAACTGGAATTCTACAAACCTGTTTAATGGGCTGATAGCAAAGTTGGAAAATTGTAAATTATATGCAGTTGCAGAATCGAAAGGTCGCACTGCAGCTCAAACTGGAGGTGACGCTGGCACCGGAGCCTATGATCGCCTCACTGATGACACTGTTGGCTCAGAAATAACGAATAAGGTCGCTGAGATCGTGCCGTATCAGGATGAGAGTCAGATGCCGTTCATCATGAAGCTAATCACAAAAGACCTATCCGAGCCGTATTCGATCTATACCTACCGCTACTTTATCCATAACTGGCCGAGTCTGTGTTTCCTGGCACGGGCCCACGATGGCACTTACGTCGGCGCGATCGTCTGTAAATTGGCACTCCACCCAAAAGGTACCAGGAGGGGTTACATCGCGATGCTGGCCGTTGACCAAGCTTACAGAAGGTGCGGTATTGCCAGCGAACTGGTGATCAAGGCGATCACGACGATGATGCAACAAGAATGCGACGAAGTGGTGCTCGAAGCAGAGGTGACTAATCACGCAGCATTGAATTTGTATGAGAATCTCGGCTTTATACGCTATAAACGTCTGTTGCGGTATTATCTGAATGGAGTGGACGCCTTTAGGCTCAAACTGTGGCTGAAGTCTGCGAGGTCTGTTTACTTGTAGAGCCTGAATGCTAAGTCTAGGTTTTTTGTTGCAATTGATGTATTCTCTGAGATTAAATTTCAGTTTTTTATGTATGTTTGTACTTATCAACTAACTAAGTATTTAGCCGAACTATTGTTGAAACTCATTTTGATGTTGTGCCTTTAGTTTCAAGATTATTTGTCATGATTCGATGGTAATTGCCAACAACAGACATCAAACTCAGCGCTATATTGCTGTTCATATTGTTACCTTTAGATGGCAATGAAAAACAAATAGTAGGAAACTTAAACTAAACTAGGTTTGACCATCATCAGCACGAAGATGTAGATTTTGCGTAGATCCGGTTAATTGCATGGCGAAATGCTCGGAGCCATGCCTCAACGGAACTGTCGTTCGCAAGCGCAATACGAATGTATTTCTCATCTGCTTGATGCCATCTTTCGATGAACGTGTCGTCTCGCGAATAATTAGTGATTACTACCGAACGGATGTAACTTTCAGGTAACATCAGAAATTACAGTAAATTTTCAACTATGAAAAAATACATACTATAGTTGAAACCAGTCTGAAATATTTGTACGGTTTTACATTCGTTTCGTGAATAAATTTGCTTTAATATTTTAATTTTGTGGTGCATGTAAATCTGATGTCAAGTTATTATGTTAAGGTAAGCAAAGTTGCCAGTATTAATGATCTTACAGTTGGTGTTTGACAATAATTGTTAAGTAGGCGAAAAAATCATGATTGTTTATCAGAGGTGAAGTTTAGAAGTACATAGCAGTAATATCCGTATATTACCGTTAATTCACCTTATCGTCATATCACAAACACAAAACCAACTAATTTTTTCATGAAATCACAAGCAAATTTAAGAATAGTAGCGAAACTTCAAAAGAAAAGTTCGCGCGATGCGACGGGTAACCATGTAAAATGACGGACGTAATAGTCACCAACACAAAGAGTAGAAAGAGTACAGAAAAAAATCAACACACAACAACAACTAAATGAACAAACAGCTATTCATGTTTTCACGACGATCAATATCACCAGTAGAATAATGACCAAACAGGACAAGGAGACGATGAGGATCATCTTGCGATTTTTCTTTTGGTATTCAGAGACCTTACGAATGGAGTGATAGCCAGATTTGGCGGCCAAGCAGCTACGCTCGATGTTGTAGTCGATTCGGTCCAGAACGGTGCTTTGGTCGACTACGAACGCTGCCAGATCTTTGAAAAGATGGTTCAACTCCAGAATCGAATCGCTGATGCAGGCGATCTCCTTCTCCCTCTCCCTAAATAGCGCAGCGTTCTCTTCCTGCATCTGGATTTTGGACATCGACAACGCTTCTGGTTTCGGAGGTACACCGTCGTTCTGAAACTGATAGTCAGGCAGCGAAGGCCCATTGGCCGTGAACGAGCCAAAGTACTTCTCACAGGCGTCCTCGTACGACTGCAACTGGTGCAAATAGCGGTTCTGACTCTGTCGCAAGTTGACGTTCAACTTTTGTAGCAAATCTACGTGGGCTGAAACGATGTTGCGGCGAAACTTTTCCACCGTGGTTCCCGATACCTGAGACTGTTGGATCACCTGCAGAATATTCTGGACATGACACATCATCTTTGTTATTTCACGAGTGAGCGCTTCAATGTTCTTCTCTTCTAGGCCACCTTCGTCACTGAAACTCGGTCGTGTGAGATGCTTCTGTTGCAGCTCTTTCAGCTCACTGATACGCGTCATAATTTTTGACACTTCGTACCTAAAATATTCATAACAGTCAATATTTATTTATATTCACAGTTCTATATGTCAATTTATATAAACAGCCAACATGACAGATGTAAATCGTTCAACTCTGCACTGCAGAGGTTCGGGTTCAACTTGCAATCAAGGCGTAAAATTTTCTTTACTGGTTTCTGATTCCCTTGATGGGGGATTTCATCCCACCACTGCGCTTCGGTGCAACCGACTGACGGCTATATTAAACGGGTAAGCCGTGTAACAGTGCAGTCATGCCAAATCGTATGAGACTTATGACCACGCTGTCGCTCTCTGCAGGTGCCTTACCAATATGATTGAGCTTCATCCATCAAGCAGTAAACAAAATCCAAAGAACGTTTAATTTACGAATAAAAATTCAAACAGCATGACTACCGCAATATACAAAACGTAGTATACACAGTAAAAGCAAAACAGTGCTGTACGACGAAAATCTTTAGTTCTAGGAAGGTAAGACTAAACAGAAAACTAGAAATTTTAAACAAAAAATATAATACAAAACTCCGCCATAGCAGGTCCCAAGCCCGGATGAGAAAGAAGGAGGGTTGGAGACCGTGGCAAGTCTGAGTAAAAGTCAGCCACCTGCCACTCATGGTATTGACGCCATCGAAAAGTATACCGGATCGGTCGTCGCCCGGGTTACCAAGGGCGACGCAGGCTGTTGGGGGACTGAGGCAGACTGCGAAAAGTCGGCGATCAAAACCTGCTCAATGCCCTCTGCCAGCCGAGGGCGTGGCAGCACAACGACGACGAAGATACCAGTCAGCAACGGAGTCGCAACCCGTTCTGAACGGAGGAGGCAGACAGCGCGATGACATTATAGCACGGCAGAAAAGGATCCACGAGAACGACACCACCAGTGGGAGCTAAAAATCGGAAATTGGAACATATCCCCACTCAGAGGAAAAGAATATGAATTAGTTGATGAGGCCACGAAGTACCA